GTTACAGATCCATGCCTTCATCAAAAAAATCCGAGGGGCCGGAAGAGGAGGCGTGACTAAAGATCTTTCAATCTTTAGGGCAGTCAGGGCAGTCAGGCAGAATTTAACCCATGCTTGAATTCTCCTCACAGCGTATAGAAAAGGACCCTTCAGGTAAGCCAATGGTCATTATATAACTGCGTACATGCACCCTCACAGTCTGTGATAGGTTAGCTCCTCTTGATGTCTCAAGTGTAAGCCGTACTGCAAAAACCTCCAACAGTCTTGTGAGGTGAAAGGACTTGTCATTGCCACCATACCTGTTAACAAAAAATAAAATTAAAAAAATTAAAAATCCTCTTTCTTTATTCCAAAGAAGACAAGCATTCCTGCTCTTTCAGGAAGAGCTCTAACAAAATGTGCCAGGATATGCTATAAACTAAATTTCCTCTTAGAATGAAATTATTAATTTCGGAAAAGAATACAAATTATTTATAATGGGGATTAATATTTGAGGAACCTGTTTACCATCAAAAGGAGAATGGTGAAAGAAAGAAGGAAATTCAGATTCCTGTTAACGGCAAAAGCCTTTTAACAGCTCACCTGAGAAAGGGGAGAAAACCTTGCTCCTGATTGGTTGCACAAAGTTTGAATTTCCAAGACTTTGGTGGTCTCTATCCTTTGTCTAGACCAGGGGTGTCAAACTCACATTGTCACGTCATGTGACATGTCGCGACTTTTCCCCCTTTGCTAAACCGGTGGTGGGCATGGCCAGCACGTGACGAATCTGGCCGACGGGCCACGAGTTTGACACCCCTGGTCTAGACTGACAAATTGAGTTTATGGTTTTTCCCTCTTATTTCTTTTTTCTGAATGTTCCCTGCCTGTTCCTTGAGACATATCTATACCCTAGGAATAATAGAAATTGGTTCTTGGAAGATATTTCTTTTTATGAGCTGAGCAGACATGTGTTTAAATAAGCAAAGATTTATTTTTATTGTTCCTGTACAGATAGAGCTTCAATGTCCAGAGCTGGAGAAACAGATTTGGGCTATTTTTTCCCTTAAGCCATACTTTCTCTTCCACATTGCAGATCCTGGACACAAGAAGGATAATACATTTCTTAACAATATCAACTAGGAAGAAGGCAATGAATTCTTTGACAAGAATTTGGCACTCTTTGAGGTGAGATCACTGCTCCTTACCCTTGTTTCACTTTGTTTTTCCACTTCCACCATATACACACTTACGACCACAATGAAGCCCCAAATTTCTGTGGCTAAGTCAGATATTTATTAAGTGAATTTTGCCCCATTTTACAACCTTTCTTACCACAGCTGTTAAGTGAATCACTGCAGTTGCTGAGTTAATAACATGGATCTTAAGTGAACCTGGCTTTTCCATTGAATTTGCTTGTCAGAAGGTCACAAAAGGTGATCACATGACCCTGGGACACTGCAACCATCATAAAGATGAACCAGCTTCCAAGCAACTGAATTTTGATCAAGTGACCATGGGGATGCTGCAATGGTCATACGTGTGAAAAATGATCATCAGTCACTGTTTTCAGTGCCATTGTAACTTTGAATGGCCACTGAATGAACTGTTGTAAGTCAAGGAATATCTATACTTTCAATATCAATCTACAGGTGAAACTCGAAAAATTAGAATATCATGCAAAAGTTCATTTATTCCAGTAATGCAACTTAAAAGGTGAAACTAATATATGAGATAGACTCATTACATGCAAAGCNCTTCTTTATATACATAATAACACATGAGTAAATGTGCAATACCAATAGTGGATTCTCCAATGTGGTAGTAGTTACAGGGGAAACACAAGACAGCAGAGAGAATAGCAGAGATGAGTTTCAGTTTCAATTCAGCAGACTAGATTAGTTCTCTTGCACAGGCTCAGAGCTACATAGGTAAGCCACGCCCAGGCTCCGAACCATCTGGCATGGCTCTCAGTCCCCAAATAGTTCCATTGACCCAGTTGCCATGCCTATACATTGGCTGACCTTGTTACCATGTCCTATTCCAGTTCATGAATATTCTGACAGTGTTTAAGATCAGGATTGATAGAATTGATATTTTCCTCCCTGATTATAGTAGAACTAGAGAAATCTGCTATCCTCAACATTTGATTTCCCCAAAACATGCTCTGGGCTTCTTACATAAGCTTTCATTTTTGTGTGCTCTGTAAGGAATATTTCTAAATCCTTGACTTATGCATATAATTCTTGAGATTTAAATAAGTAGGATTAGATTAACAAAAGCTGGCAGAGCTACTTTTTTAAAATGTTGTTTTATATGCCTCACACATATGAGCTTTATTGACCTTCTAGAATTTCTGAGAACATCAGCTTCCTCAGAAGCTTCACTTTGGTAGATCTTAAACATTACCTCAAAACTGATTATGCTCAGTGGACCTACTGATATTCAACTTCATTCCTTCTGACCACCATTGAGTCAGCATCTCGGAAAGCACTGTCACCTATCCTGAGCTCAAAGAACAGATTAACCTGAATCATATAGTTAGTAACTCTTGAGAAGTAGACAGGATCAAAGAATCAAAGCCGAGGAATAGAGAAATTTCAAGTCTTCATTGTATAGATAGTCCTCCACTTAACGACCACAATTGAGCCCAAAATTTCTGTTGCTAAGCAAAACATTTCTTAACTGAATTTTGCTCCATTTTATGACCTTTCCTACTACAGTTGTTAAGTGAATTACTGCGGTTATTAGGTTGTAACGCCGTTGTTAAGCGCATCTGGCTTCCCTGTTGACTTTGCTTGTCAAAAGGTCACAAAAGATGATCCCATGACCCTGGGACACTGAAACTGCCATAAATATGAGTCAGTTGCCAAGCGTCTGAATTTTGATCATGTGACCATAGGGATGTTGTAATAGTTGTGTGAAAAATGGTCATAAGTCATTTTTTTTTCAATGTCGTTGTAACTTTGAATAATTACTAAATGAACTGTTGTAAGTTGAGGACTTCTTTTATAGAAGTGTTGGGAAGTTTGGTCTTAACACTCTGCCCGTCCTCCTCCTCTTCTATTAGATTCCACAGATGGGCACGTTCATGGGAGTCTACCTACCTTGCCTGCAGAACATCTTTGGAGTGATTCTTTTCTTGCGTCTTACTTGGGTTGTGGGTTCAGCTGGTGTGCTGCAAGCCTTTACCATTGTCCTTATTTGCTGCTGTTGTGTAAGTTACCCTCTCTTATCAAGTTTGTATCACAATATGTTACCGCAGTCTTTGATATACAGGAAAGCTTTGGGGGGGGTGGGGAAGGAAACTTCTGATCTTGAGGAAGGAGAAATTACACTCAGCGACGTTAGCATCCCATGGCTGAGATGCCAGTGCAAAAATAATCCTCTTCGTAGATGTAGTCAGTTTTTGTGTTGAGATCATTGGTGGTCTTTATTTCCATATCTGTTCTTCCCCGTCTTTGTTTAATCTATTTCTTTAATTTCTTTTCTTTAATCTATTTCAACTCCTACCCTCAAAATGATGCTATAGGGCACTGCACACCAGAACAACTAGGCACAGGACTGTTTTCCCCCCGAATACCATCACTTTGCTAAAAAACTAATTCCCACAACAATGTCAAATTATCTACTAAGACTCTATTACTATCCTTCTTCTCTTCCTTCCTAGTGTCTATCTTTTCCCACTTATGACTATAACCATGTGGCTGGTATCTTTACAATTTATATTGTTTTATTTGTTTCCTAGTATAACTTGATTGCTTATTAGTAACCTATGACTATCTCTAAGTGTTGTATCTTATGATTCTTGATGAATGTTTTATTTTTCTTTATATACACTGAGAGCATATGCACCAAAGACAATTTCTGGTGTGTCTAATCCCACTTGGCAAATAAAGAATTCTATTCCTTCTTATTCTATTCTATTCTATTCTATTCTATTCTATTCTATCAAAAAAAATTCTATTCCATTATTCTGAATTTTTGTAAAGATCCTGACTGAAACCATTTTGCTTACTTCCACCTTGGTGTTTTGTCTTCATTATCCTTAATAACAAAGAAAGCTAAAAGGAGAAGGGGCATAATTTGATTTTTATCAAAATGTAAAAGCGATTGGGCAGCACAGGAAGCAAATTTAGGTTTGGCAAAATAATAGCCAAAAGTTATATAAGTTCCATCAGTGATTCTTAGCACAGGACAAACTAAGAATTTGCTTCTGCCTGTATTTGTCTCCTCAATACTTCTGCTGTCTATTTCTTGTCTCCTCCTTAGACATTGCTGACAGCCATTTCCATGAGCGCCATTGCCACTAATGGAGTAGTGCCTGGTAAGTGCTAACATTTTAAAAACGGCCTTCCCCCAGGAGTGAAATTCAGCAGGTTCTGACAGGTTCTGAAGAACTGGTAGCTGAAGTTTTGAGTAGTTCGGAGAACTAGCAAATACCACCTCTGGCTGGCCCCAAAGTGGGGTGGGAATGGTGATTTTTCAGTATCCTTCCCCAGCCACAGCCACCAAACCACGTCCACAGAACTGAGAGTAAAAAAAAATTGAATTTCACCACTGCCTTCTCCCATGTGTACAGTACCAGCTTTCAAATCAGATCATATTCAGAGGTTTTCCTGAATTCTCTCCTCAGAAATCTGGTTAGTTGATATGGGGAATGTCCCCCCTTTCACCGGTAGCCCACAAAGCATGGAATTCTTTCTCTAACCATGGTTATAGCAATAGCACATAGACTTAAAAACCGCCCCATAGTGCTTTATAGCACTCTTTGAGTAATTTACACAGTGTCAGCATATTGCCTCCAACAATCTGACTCCTGATTTTACTGACCTCGGAAGGATGGAAGGCTGAATCAACCTTGAGCAGGTCAGAATCAAATTCAAGGATCGGCGGTGGGCAGAGTTAGCCTGCAATACTGCACTCTAACCACTGCACCACTAGGGTTAGAAGTAGTCCTTGACTTACAACAATTAGTGACTGACGTTACAATGAGACTGAAAAAAAGTGACTTATATGTCAGTTTTTCGCACTTATGACCATTGCAGCATGGCCACGTGATCAAAATTCAGATGCTTGGCAACTGACTCAAATTTATGACAGTTGCAGTCATAAATTGCAGAGTCATGTGATCACCTTTTGTGACCTTTTAACAAGCAAAGTCTGAGAAGGCCAGATTCGCTTAACAAAGTTACTAACTTTACAGTGATTCAGTTAGCAAGGGTGGCAAAGGTCATAAAATGGAGCAAAATTCACGTAACAACTGTCTCACTAATTTTGGGCTCAGTTGTGGTCGTAAGGTGAAGACAACTTATATTGTGTTTTGGGGAGCTGATGTTGTAGCTGCTGCTGGTTTTACTATTCTTGAGCTTATTTTTGAAAGCCACAGGGCAGGTGCTGCTAAAAAGTGAGGGGGTTGGAATGAGTGAAAAAGCAGGGATAATAAGCCAATGAGCCTCTGCATCAGGGGTGATATTCGCTTACCTTCCCTACCGGTTTGCAAATGTGAGCATGCACGCTCGCTTCACTCACACGTGCCATCTCCGTGCATGTGCACAGCCTTCTGTGCGTGTGCTTTTGGCAAAAAAGGGGGGGGCTAAATGGGATGCTGTAGAGCCAGGGCAGGTGGGCAGGGGCCCCTGCGATTTCCACTATCGGTTTGGGCGAACCAGTCCAAACCGGTAGAGTACCACCTTTGCTCTGCATCTTCTGTCCTTGTTGCCTCTCTGCAGCTGGAGGATCATACTTCATGATTTCACGAGCCCTGGGCCCTGAGTTTGGAGGAGCTGTAGGACTCTGCTTCTATCTCGGCACTACCTTTGCTGTTTCTATGTACATCTTGGGGGCTATTGAAATCTTCCTGGTAAGTATTCAGCACCTCACAGGATAATCTATAAGATACAAGACGGTATTGTAATTGTGAGGTGTGTTAGGTCCTGCCAGTCGGCTACAGCTCCTACAAGAAGCAGGAGACTGCGGATCGCTGTGTCTCTTGCTACCATCATGCCAACGCCCCATCTTTTTGTATTTTCACTCCTCTGACTAGGCCGAAGGTGACGTGTGACTCATTCTTGCCTCCTCTCAGATGTACATTGCCCCCAAGGCAGCCATCTTCCACAGCGATGATCCCTTGAAGGAGCCGGCAGCCATGCTGAACAACATGCGGGTTTACGGCTCGGCCTTCCTGCTGGTTATGGTGCTGGTGGTGTTTGTGGGAGTGCGTTACGTGAACAAATTTGCTTCTCTTTTCCTGGCCTGCGTCATCGTCTCCATTCTGGCTATTTACGCTGGCGTCATCAAGTCCTCCTTTGCACCTCCTGATTTTCCGTAGGTTACTAGCATATTCCGAGATGGCTAACCAAACTCCCGTTGAAAGCTGTGGCCAGAGGCTGGCTTCCCCAGCATGCCGCCCCTAAAGGTGTTGGGAAATATAGAATGGCCAGTAAAAGAGCTCTGCTCTCCTTAGTGCTCTCTGAATTTGGTTGTTTTCTTGCAGATGTTTCGTTATCCAAACTAGCTAACATCTAGTGTAGTCTGCAACAAGCTAACATCTTGTCTAATCTGCAAGAAAACAACTCAGCTCAGAGAGCACCAAAAGCATCTCATTTCAACCCCGAGGTACAAATATCCTCCTTTATTGATAATTTCCTTCCCAACCCTAGAATGTCTAGTTGTGTGTACAAACAGAACAACAGCTCACCATTCCCTCAGATAGTAGCATGTACCAACTTTCACATTTATGAAGTCCAACCAATTTGTTCATCCTTATTTCTCTCTCCATTCAGTGTGTGCATGCTGGGGAATCGTTCCCTCTCCCAGCACCATATTCAGACATGTGCCAAGACTAAGGAGTATGGTAACCTCACCATACCCACGTTCCTGTGGACACGTTTTTGCAACCACAGCAATCTCCTCAATGCCTCTTGTGATGAGTATTTCCAACACAACAATGTCACTGCTATCCAAGGAATTCCAGGACTAGCCAGTGGTGTTATTGCTGGTGAGAAAGGGTTCCTTATGTCTTTGACTAGCAAAATGTTGTTTCATTCTGTGTCGCTCTTTGAGTCATTTCTTAGATTTAGACTTAGAATAACTTTATTGTCACTTTGAATGTACACTGATCGGCATACATTAAAATGAAATTTCATTGCATACAGTTCTCAAAGGTCACTACCTCCAATATACACTACATAAACATGACAATACATACATACATACATACATACATACATACATACATACATACATACATATGCATGTACCCACATATAGTCTATAACACAGAGAAACAACACAGTCTAGTTCGGATGCATACATGTACATGGTGAGAAAAAAGAATTTTGCAAGTTTACCAGATAGACAGCATAGGGAACAAAGCTTTTATGGAATCTGCCAGAAATACTTTGAAACCTCCTGCCAGAGGGGAGCAACAGAAACAGACTGTGAAGTGGGTGTGTGGGGTCTCTAGCAATGCTTTGAGCTCTAACACATAGCGCTTATAAGCAATATCCTGAATAACAGCAAGCTATCTTCCTATAATCATCTCAGCTGCCCTTACCACTCTCTGTAAGGGCTTTCTATCTAAGGCACTGCTGCCACCAAACCATACAGTGCAGTTTGTTAAAACTCTTTCATTTGTGCCTCTGTAAAAAGTGGCCAGGATAGAAGGAGAAAGATTGTAGTAGTGACTGAAGTTTCTTTGGGCTACTTCTCGGTCTAATAGTTAAGAAGATCGTGGGATTGGAGGGGGTGGGGGGACACTATCACACTATCCAGAGCTCTTCAAATAAATGATGGGGTGATGGTGATAATGATGATGCCATAATTGCAGAGAATCTTTGGAGCAGCTATCTGACGAAAGGTGAAATACTTGAGAAGTCATCTTTGCACTCGGCTGATGTGGGAGGAGCTCTGAATCAGCAGTATGTCCTGGCTGATATCACCACTTCTTTTACCCTTCTTGTGGGTATATTTTTCCCTTCTGTCACTGGTAAGTGCCTGCATTGCAGTTGAGCTCTCTGTTCAGTGTGACTGCAAAAACCAAGCCATATTAGAAGGGGAGATTTGTTAGCTATGAGACCTGTATATAGCAGTTCACTTGGCGACCATTTGAAGTTACAACGAAACTGCTTATGGCCATTTTTCACACTTATGACCATTGCAGCTTCCTCATGGTCACGTGATTTACATTCACATGGTGTGCCCACTGACTCGCAGTTATGGCTGTTGCAGTGTCCTGCGGTCTTGTGGATACCCTTTCTTAACTTTCAGAAAAGCAAAGTCAATGGGGAAGTTAGATTCGCTTAACAACCATGATTTGACAACTCTAGTGATTCACTTAACAAATGTGGCAAGAAAAGTCTCACTTAGCATCATAAATTTTGCTCTCCGTTGTGATCGTAAGTTGAGGACTACCTGTATTTGGGCTCCTGAAGATTTCATCTGCAATTTCTCAACTTTAGTAAAAGGAGCTTGATCCTGGCCAGATTAAGACCAATAGAAAGGCGATGTTCAGATGTATTGTTGCTTCCCCCACCCGCCCCCGAGTTGAACCAACTCTGCTTGCCCAGTTAACATTTAATTTTATCAAAGCCAAAAGCTTTTATATAAAATACCAGTCAGCACTGTTCCTTATTATTACTTCATTCAGTCACATAAAATGTTCATTCCAGAAATGGATCGACTCTTTTATTTAAATTGTGTTGTCTTCATAGGAATCATGGCTGGGTCAAATCGTTCAGGAGACCTAAGGGATGCCCAGAAATCTATTCCCATTGGTACCATCCTGGCTATTCTCACCACCTCTTTTGTGTGTATCCTTTGAAGCAGCTGGAAGCACCTCTGGATAACCAGCTTTCTTACATTCCATTCCTTCTAAAATCAGTTCAATTGGAAATCAGGATCGATGAGGACTGCTTTGCATAGTTTTATGATCATTTTGACACAGGCATGGACATGTTTTATCTATTTGTGAATCTGGAGCCTGTAGAGAACTAGCAAACAATTTCAGTTGCTCTTTTAGACCAGTATCTGGGTAGAGCAGAATTTCTCAACTTTGCCACTTGAAAATATCTGGATTTCAACTCATAGAATTCCTGAGCCGGCATGTCAGCTGGGGAATTAGCTCAAGTCCAAACATCTTAAAAGTTGCTCAGGTTGAGAAATACTGGTGTAGAGAGAGCTGACAGAACATCATCTTCGTCATTCTTGACCAAAGAAAATGCCTTCCTTTGCTTCTGGAATTTGGATTCTTTTAATAATGCCAGTATGCTGCTTTAATAAATTCCAGATGTTTGGGGGCACATTGAACCCAGAATCCCCTCCAATGAGGATTATTGCTTTGTTGCCTTGAAATTATGTTTCCTTGCCCACAGATACAAAGCTACTGGCAAGGAAATAATCAAAGCTGTTTACAATTTCAGCCCTGTAGTTCATCTTGAATTGATACCAGGACCATGCCTTGGTTTGGCTGATACCTGGCTGGGATATGTTAGGATTAATAAGCAAGAGAAAATAAAAATGATTTGATAGTTGCTTATGAGAAGACTGGTTGTTCATTTTTACTACCTTGTTCTTTGCACAAAATTTACCTTTGACTCTTGCCACACTAGATCTTAGCAATGTAGTGCTGTTTGGGGCATGTGTAGAAGGCATTCTACTCAGGGACAAGTAAGTAATACCACCTTGGCTTTCTCTAAATCTTATAATTTTCCAATAGTAGAAACTGCTTGTATATTTGTGTGTGTGTGTGTGTAGATTTTAGATTTGGGTTGGCTATAAAGTTCCTTTCTGGTCAACATTGGGAACGCTTGATACATCCTTCTTTTTTTAAGCCTGATATTTATTATTAGAGATAGTTTGATGTATTGGTTAAGGCAGCAGTCCTCAACCCCTGGGGCATGGCCCACTAATGGACTCTGGCCCATTTGGAAATGGGCTTTATTAGCACTGGCCGATGCATGCGTGTGCACACGCAACTTGACTTGTGCACGTGCGCACACACGTACATACCTCAACTTGGTTATCAGCGGGCCAGTTCCCCTGTCCCTCCCCACCAGGCCATGAAACCATAAAGGTTGAGGACTGCTGGGTTAAGGCATCAGGCTAGAAACTAGGAGACCAGGAATTCTAGATCTGCCTTAGGCACAAAACCAGCTGGGTGACCTTGAGGTAGTTGCAAGCTCTCAGCCTTAGGAAGCACTTACCAAGAAAACTTCAGGCAGTTGCCAATACTCAAAGGCAGGTATGTGTTCACGCACACAAATTGTTGTTAGCAATTTCTTTTGCTCCTTTTCTGTGGCTTGGATCTAGTTAGAATGCAATTATACATCTGTTTTTGCAGGAATAGAATAGAGTAGAATTCTTTATTAGCCAAGTGTGATTGGACAGACAAATAATAAAGGCCTTTTGAAGTTGCTTTCAATAAGGTAAAGGTAAAAGGTAAAGGTTCCCCTTGCACATATGTGCTAGTCGTTCCTGATTCTAGGGGGCGGTGCTCATCTCCGTTTCAAAGCCGAAGAGCAAGCATTGTCCGCTGACGTCTCCATGGTCATGTGGCCAGCAGGATTAAATGCCGAAGGTTCACGGAACACTGTTAGCTTCTCACCAAAGGTGGTCCTTATTTTTTCTACTTGCATTTTTACATGCTTTTGAACTGCTGGGTTTGCAGAAGCTGGGACAAGTAGTGGGAGCTCACTCCGTTACGCGTCACTAGGGTTTCAAACCGCCAAACTGTCGACCTTTCTGATCGACAAGCTCAGCGTCTTAGCCACTGAGCCACAGTGTTCCTTTTTTGCTTTAAATATTATTTGCTAAATAGCAACAATGCCAAAGGACTCTCATCCATCTGGCCTCTTTATGAACTTTCCAGATACCTTGGGATGATCTCTTTGTGACAGAAGCTACTAGACCAGATGGGCTTCCCCTGATTCAGGAAAATTTTCACATATAGGAGTGCACACTATGAATTCGTTTTATTTCTCATTGGAATTAGAAGGATCTTTGCAATGAATTTGTATGGATCTAACAATAAATATAGTACAGGTAGTCCTCGACCTACGACAGTTCATTTAGTGGCCATTCAAAGTTACAACACTGAAGAAAGTGACTTAGGACCAATTTTCACACTTACAACAGTATCCACATGATCACGTGATCAAAATTCAGATGTGTGGCACCTGACTCATATTTATGACAGTTGCAGTATCCTGGGGTTGTGTGTGATCCCCTTCTGTTAACTTCTGACAAGGAAAGTCAACGGGGAAGCCAGATTCACTTAATAACCGCATTACTAACTTAACAACTGCAATCAATTATTCACTTAACCGCTGGGGCAAGAAAGGTCGTGAAATGGTCGTGAAACTCACTTAGCAAAAGTTTTCACTTAGCAGTATGAATTTTGGAACTCAGTTATGGCCGTAAGTCCAGGACTGCCTGTAGACCATATCATTTCTTTCCATAGTTTGCTTCAGATGCACTTCTAGCCGTGAAACCTTTAAGGATTCAACTTAACAACATTTCATTCTTGTGTCCATCTGATAGATTTGGCGACACAGTAAAGGGGAACCTGGTAGTAGGCACCCTCTCCTGGCCATCCCCTTGGGTCATTGTCATTGGTTCGTTCTTCTCCACGTGTGGTGCTGGGCTGCAGAGCCTCACCGGTGCACCCCGGCTGCTGCAGGCCATAGCTAAGGACAACATCATACCTTTCCTGCGGGTGAGTGTCCAAATTTTGCTTTCAGGTAGCAGTAGTGCTTAGACTTATATACCACTTCACAGTGCTTTTATAGCCTTCACTAAGGGGTTTGCAGAGTCAGCCTATTGCCCCCAACAATCTGAGTCTTCATTTTGCCCCTCCTCGGAAGGATGGAAGTCAACCTTAAACCTGGTGAGATTCGATCTGGCAATAGCAATAGCAGTTAGACTTATATATCGCTTCATAGGGCTTTCAGTCCTCTCTAAGCGGTTTACAGAGTCAGCATATCG